TATCGGGATGTTTTCTCATATTTCTGTGGTTGGCAGGTGTCATTATGGTCAAAATTCCCCTTGCACACTTTATTTTCAGTTCCCCAAAACTCAGGGGTGACCATTAGATCATTTGTCTGTGCCAGAATTCATGGGCCCCAAGCTTTATGCTAACTGCTGGAGGTAATGTCTCACAGGGTACAGGCCTGTAGATTCCTTGCATTACTGCTGAATATAATGCAAACAGAATATAATGAAGGCAAGGCAGTGAATATAATGAAGGCAAGCTAGCCCTGTGGGCTACAATTAGGAAGGCGGCACCTGCTTTCAGGGAGGGGAGTAACGTTACTGGTGATGATTCTAGTGCAAGGCTCCTAACAGTCAGAGAGCTCTGAGAGGAGCCATTTGCTGAGCAGGCTTTTTGTGCTGGCTTCTGCAAGGTCCTGGAATAAGCTAAATCTGGGAGCTGTACTTCAGCCTTTGTCCAAAGGACTAGGGCTAGGCTGGGAGTGGATCTCCAAGTGTTCTTGGCACCTGCTATCTCCCTCCAGCCTGAGGAGCAACACGGCTGGGCCCTGTGTTGTGATTTTGTGAGACTGACTCAAGGTACCCTGTGGCTGCTGTCCCTGGTGTTAGGGGCTGTAGATAAAGCCTCGGAGAGCCTGCTGCCCAGCATTACAATAACTAATCATATGTGGGGATGGACAGAAGTGGCAGACCATATATGATCACCTCAGCAAATGGCAGCTCCGTCTCTGCCCAGATATCCAGTCCCCTCACTGGTGTCCATAGCACAGTGACTGCTAAGAGGGACCACCCAGACCAGCAGCTTGTTGGCATTTTAGTGGCTGACCCCACTGCCGGTGCCCAGCAATTTGTTGATCACAAAGGCAAACAATTATGTGGCCTTTACAGCCACCATCATGTGCTGGGACCTGGAACCCCATGACTGCCAGTGGTGCCCATGTCCTTGGCCTGATGCAGAGCAGGGGATCCCATGCTTTGCACTTCAAACCTTACATCCATTGCTTTCATTGAATAGCTTCTTTTTGTTTAAACTCACTCCTGAAAATAGCTCTTGGAGGTATGTGAAATGCAAATGTGCCTCATAATTTTATTTCTGTTTCCCTAACACAGATGCAGCTAACATGAAAAAATATTAAACCCTGGGGGTTTCCCATACAAATGGAAAATTCTGCTAGGCACATGTCACTATGGCTTAGATAGTCTCATTATGTTGCCTGCAGCTAAAGCTCCCGGAGCAGTAAGTCAAACGGAATATATAAAAAAAACATTTCTGGAAAACAACAACCCCCTGGTGGGAAGCTACTGCTTGTCAACTTGGTCTCTGCAGAGAGAGGCAAGATTGAGCAGAGGCTGGTAAATTTAGCTGCAGAGCACGCAGTCTGGTTCACCACAGGCAGTGTGCAGGGGGAGGCCTCCCTCAAGGAGCTGTTGGTGCTTGTAAACAATATGTCAGAATGGAGAGGACATTTTTCTCAGGAAGGCTCCTGAGGCAGCTGGATGTCAGAGTGACTGACCCTGTATCTTTGTCTCCAATCGGTAGAGCAGGGTGAGCTATAGAGCTGCAAGGAGGGCAGGAAAAACAGCAAGAGGTCAGTGACTATTTTTAACTCCTCTTAAAAGAAAATCTCTTTCTTTTCCTTCTGCCGTTTTATTCCCATTTCAAATGGGAATGTTTCTTGTTCTCTCTCTCTCTCTCTCTCTAGCCGCCTACCTGTGTGTCTAGCCTGCCTCTTTTGTGTCTGACCCTTCCTTAGGTGTTGCCTCAGCCTCCATCAGTGGGTGGCGGCCAGAGGGAATTTAAGACCCTTATTAATGTTGCTCTGTTTTTGCTGTGGTCTGTGTGCTAAGCTTAGAGAATCCCACAGAAGATTCCTGTTACTTTTCAAGTCATCAGTGAAGTGAGATCAGTGGGTCTCAATCTGAGGTACAGCTATCAACATTAAAAATTGCTGCATGTCATGACTGGAAATCTCTGCTCAGAAGAGGTCAAGGCCTGGGATCAGGGAGCTGTGGGTCAGGACAGAGATGTATCATCCGAGCTGTTTGAGGAGAACTTGGCAGAAGCAATAAAATGCACCAAGTCTCTCTCTGTCCTAATGTACACACATCCAGTCCGTTCCCTCCCGGTTCCCTGGTTACTCAGCACATGCAGACGCAGTCACTGCTGCTGCTTTCTGAGTCCTTTTTATTCAAAGGGGTTTGTTTTGTCATTTGACAAGTCAGGCCGTGAACTGTTTGGACAGGGGAAAGAGACACTTCCAGAAAGGAGATCTTGCAGCCTCCAGTTCAGTGGGAATGAGAGAATGAAATTGGCTCTAAATCAAGGAATCTAAAAAGGGGCAATGTAGGTCAATAATGTGAGAGAGAGGCAGAATGTGAGTGTCACTTCTCCCAAGAACAATGTGTCTGTCTGGAGCCAGAGAGGTTATCTAGGTTGTTACCTTCACAATATCGGTCAAAATGTTTGAGAGAGCCATGTCTAGTGTTGCCCGTGCTGGAGCCAGGATTTTCATTCGGAAGAAATGTTCGGAGCGCTTGGAGTGTAATTCAGAATCCCACTCCAAATGGAGTGGGCCAATTTTATCTTCATTTGCTGAGCAGCATGAGTAGCTGTCTTTTTCCTGTCAAAACAGATGTTTGCCATGTCTGATGGCAGCTTAAATGGTGTCACTCAAGAAATTATAGCCCTGAGTGCTGAGCCCTGGTCTCCATCCTGCCAGTGAATATGGAACACCTGGCTCACGCTTGGGGAACAAGAGGTCTCAAGGGAAATGCAGCAACACATGTTGAACTGGTTAATTCCAAAATCAGGTCAAGTTGAAGCTAAGTCCTCTCTGGGCATGTGCTAAAGGCCTCAAGTTTAAATGAAATGTCGATTTAAAGGCCCACACTAAGCCTGCTGCTCTGACATTGAGGCATCTGTTTGCTCAGCAATTTGTTTTCCGTTTTGTGGTTGAGATTAGTTTTGCTGCTTTTGGTTTGTTTGGTGCTGATGCTGTTTCAGTGCTTCTTGTTCCAAGCTGTATGTGATCTACAGAGCTGCTCACTTTAGGGTGCTGTTTCTGGTCTTGTTCAATAAAACATGATGAAACAGATTAAAATGGAATTCACTTTTACATCCTTAAATAGGACCAGAGGCAGCAGCGACTGTATGTGCCCTTTGTGTCTTGGTCTGTTCTGGTGTCTTGGTGTCCCTCGCCTCTGTTTGCCAGAAGCTGGGAATGAGCGACAGGGGATGGATCATTTGATGATTCCCTGTTCTGTTCATTCCCTCTGGGGCACCTGGCACTGGCCACTGTCGAAAGACAGGATAGTGGGCTAGATGGAACTTTGGTCTGACCCAGTAGGGCCATTCTTATGTTCTTACATTCAATACCAACCCAGAAACTAAAGTAAACTTCTGTCTCACCACACTGGTTAAAAAGCAGTCCAAACTGCAGTCTCCATAGGCATCCCCACTACCCAGACACTAGACTTAATGATGAGTGGCCATTGAAAACCACTTTCATCAAACAAAGGTTTCTTCTGAACTCAAAAGATCAACCACATACCCAGGTCAATATATAACTCAGGCCTTACCCAATAATCACACTGTTGCCATATCTAATAGCTAAAGGTTTATTTATAAGAGAAAAGAATAAGTAGAGAGTTAAAATGGTTAAGGAAATCAGATACATACAATCATTGCAGAGTTCTTGTATCCGGTTTGAAGCAGTGATGTTACAGAACACTGGCTTGTAAAGTCTCTGGTAACTTCCAAAAGATTTGGAAGGTCCTCAGTCCATAGTCAATATGCTCCTTTTAGTGTAAGTCCAGAGATCAGAGCAGGAAAGAGGCAAAATGGACGTTTGCAGAGTTGTTTTTTTTACCTTCTCCCATGTGGAGGGACTGCTCTCAGTCTTGGTTTGTTAAAAATGATAGGCACAGGATGGAGTCCACGGTCACATGAGCAAGTCACATAGCCTTGCATGCTTTGATGACTCATAGGAGAAGCCATTGCCCATATTTTGGCTAAAGCGTCCACAGGAATGCTCACCAGGCTGGGACAAGCTCTATGGCCCACTGTGTTCTTTAATGAGCAATCAGTTTGAATGGTCAGTTCAGAATGTGCTGGCTAGACTGGATATAAATTACCTTGTGGGGGTTACCCCAGGGGCAGACACATTTGAAATACTGGTACATAGTCAATATTTATAACTTTAGATACAAAGATGATATATGAATACAAACACGATAATCGTACTCAGCAAATCATAATTTTTCCATTGACATCTTACAATGGTATATTTTATACAAGATTTGTTGCAATTCTCTAACAGTGGCAATATTAATTATATAAATGGTCATGTTCCTTTCATACAGATCACATGGGGCTCATGTATGTGGAGGTGGGAGGGGTGGCTAGTCATTTTATGCATAGCAAGAGAGGGGATTAGCAACTTTCAAAGAACCAAATCCAGATTATGCAGTGTTGTTGTAGCCGTATTGGTCCCAAGATATTAGCGAGACGAGGTGGGAGAGGTAATATTTTTTATTGGACCAACTCTTGGACCAAGTCCAGATTAGTGAGCCAGCAAATAGCTTCAGAAGTGGCTTAGGAGACTAGTGATAAGGCAGAAACCAAACATGAGCCTTTGCATCCTTCGGTGGATAGGAAGGTTTGCATTTAAGTGGGAATGGTAGTTATAATACAACAAGGCTGGAGATGCTTACAGAGATCTTTGCAGCAAAGAAGTGGAACCCAGTCCAGTGTATCTGACTAGAGATCTTCTGTCCATGAATGAATTGTTAATCAGTGCAAACATGGCAGGGTGATAGGTGTTGCATCTGAGGTCAAATGTGGTCTGCTGAATAGCAATTTTAAAATAGATGTTTCAGGCTTGCTGATTCTGGGAGCTAGAAAGCCTGACACTTACAGCGGGGCCTGAGCATAGAGTGTTTCTTTGGCTGTGTAGACAAGGGGACTGAGCTGCCTGTGTGTCTTTCCTCTTCAGGGTCTGATGCATTCCAGTGGTCCAGTTGGCCGCCATCGCCAGCTGATACTAGTTCTAGAGGGAGAACTGTACCTTATCCCCTTCGCTCTCCTGAAAGGAAGTTCCTCGAATGAGTACCTCTACGAGCGCTTCAGCCTCATCGCAGTACCATCCATCCAGTCACTGAACCCCAGTTCCAAGGTACTCTCCAGCCCCATGCTCCCAAAGCTCCTGCTGTGAGGTGAGACATGCAGGGCCCCATCCGTGCCATGTGAGAGCTGAAGCTACTCCATGCCACACAGGCCCTGTGTGGGCCCCAGGCTGAACTGCAGGGATTGCTGTCTCTTCCAGCGGCATCGGCTACTGTTGTACCAATAAAATAAAAACCAGCAGGATCTTATTAAAGGGAAAAAGGCAAAATACCACATTTATTGTGAATACAGAAAGAATCATAGTAAGCAGTTAGTTCTAGTTATAACATTCCATTCAATCTCATATTTATTCACACATTCATTCATACAAACACACACACACACACACACACACACACACACACACAGGTTCTGCAAGGTTGTTATCATAGTTACCAGCCTTAGAGTTGCTCATGCCAAGCCACTGGCCAGGTGGCCTGGACATGAGGAGGGAGCAGGGCCTTGTCAGATGCTCATCTGATGCTCCTGGAAGTTGGTTTGCAGAATCAGACCCCAAAGTTCTCACTTTTTAGAGTCTATTTTTATAGGAATTTCTTCCTATGCCAGTCTATGGGAATTGCTTCATCATGCTGTTGCTGAATCAATCAGCAGATAGCACATTCCTGACGGCTCCAAGATGTTATCTTGTTCTTTGGTTCTCCCATTCTTGAGGCTGTTGGGTGGATTCCAGTCTGCCCTCCGGGGGGGGTCCTCTGGTTATTTCCACTTGACGCCTTCTTCAGCCGATGGACACTGGATTCTTAGGCTGGCACCTCCCTGATCATTCAGTTATTATCCACACCAAGCATCCATCCACATCCATCCTCTATCTCTATTTTAATCACAATTGTTAATACAACAAAAGGGTGGGGAGTCTCTGGGTGCTGTTTCTGTTGTTAGAGTATTGCTTTGAGTCTCTTTCTCTGTGAATTGCTTTGAGAATAGACTCTGTCTTAGAATGTACTAACACAATTAGCAGCTTGCAAGTTTCACACATAGAGGGAGAGAAACAGTACCAAAAACCAAGAGACCTCTTAATTAATAATACCCTGGAATTTAAACTATGGGGAATCAAACTCATTTGTGATTTTAATACAGAACTTCTTTAATATGATCCAACACTACAAAAATGGAAATCACAAACCTACCAACTTCCAGGGTACTGGTGCTGAATGAGCTGGGCACCAACAGTGTACTTCGATGCTTTCCAGAGCAGAGTCAGGCGCGGTCCCTACCCCACAGAGATCACAAATCATGTCAAGGCAGTGGTTGGGATTTCTTTCTGAACTAGACTGCAGGTTCTGGGTGGGTTGAGCTCCCGTGCAGACAGAGTGACCTAAACTGAGTTTCCCTGGTGAGTTAATCACATCCTAGCAATCTGCTCATATGTTTGCCTTCATGCCTGTTCCCCTGTGGCGTTGGCCACTGATTCCTCATGACATTGAGGACATAGGTAAAAGCTGATACTTTAAGCAAATTCTGGGGAAATACCGTTTTCATTGATATATGGTAATAACCTTCCACTTCTTAAAGCCAAAAAAATCTGAGGAGTTCAAGGCCAACATCATACCATCAAAGAATGCCACAGGTCTTGGTCTGATTGCTCAGAACAGAGTCTTGTGGTACATCCTGCATTATTGCCATGTGAAATCGTTGTCTAAATAGGAGGATGGGCCTGATTTTATCATGGTTGTTGATGTGTATGACTTGGAGTTTCCCATTCTGGATTCCCATTCCCCAGGAGTCAGTCTGTCTCTGGTCAGTACTTGATCTTGAACTGCCACAGCACATTTGTTGGTCAGAGGTTTCCATTGACCTGACTGCAGTGACACCCAGCTACAGTTAATTTAGAGCCCAGCAATGTGTATGGATCATTAAGATGATTCCTTTCAGTGTCTATTACTTAGTGTTTGTCAGCAGTGAACTTCATCAGCCGCTAGATATAGATATAGAGTTTAAGGCCAGAAGGGATCATTAAATCATCTAGTCTAATTTCCTGTATATCACAGACCATTACAGTTACACCTGCATTGAACCCAATAACTTATATTTGACCAATGCATGTCTTCACAAAGGCATCCAGTCTGAGTCTGAAGACATCAAGAAATGGAAAATTCACTACTTCCGTGGTAGTTTGTTTCAATGGTTAATCACCCTCACTGTTTAAAAAGAAAAAAAAAAGCCTAATTTCTAATTTTAATTTGTCTGGCCTCAGCTTCCGGACGTTATTCTTGTTCTGCCTTTCTCTGCTAGATTAAAGATCCCTTCAGTACCTAGTATTTTCTCCCCATGAAGATACTTATACACTATAATTACACATATTTGAATATTGCCACAACATTAGCACTTATCCAGTGTTCCTGAATTTCCCCCGTATTGCAAGATTTGTTAAGTTATTATCAGCAGGCTAGAGATTTCCTCAGCCAACTCTTTTAGGACTCTTGGGTGCAGGTATCTGGGCCTTTGGATTTAAAAGTATTTATCCCTCAGAGATATTTAACATCCTCCCTAGTTACTAATGGAATGGAAAATATTTCATCCTCATGTGATATATCATACTGCTTCTTTCCAAAAACAGAAAAGAAATATTAATTGAACTCTGCCCAACTGCCTAATTTGGTTAGGTCCCTCTGAAGCTCCTCACAGTCTTTTCTAGTCTTGACTAATCTACATAATTTTGTGTCATCTGCAACTGTTGCCAACCAAGGAATTATTTTTATTTCATCCTTTCTAAAGCACTTTTATGTTCATCCTGAACATCCCAAAGGGATTTACAAGCAGGAATTGGTTCATTCACCCTTCACAGTACTGACTGTTTCAGAAACAGCTCATAATAGATTCCGTAAATTTCATAACCTGACAAATATAAACAAGGTCAACAGGAAAAAATTATGCTGAATGGGATAAAAAAAACTTCCGAACGGTAAAAACGATTAGTCAGTGGAACAAGGATTCTTTTTCAAGTAGTGTCTCTATGGGTGCTCCTCATCAAGACATGCATGCGCCTATGCGCTCTTCATTGGAGATTTTCATCAGCAGTGTCCACTGGTCTGCACCTGCGCCCTAGGCACCCTCATGCCCCTCCTGGGGCTTCCAGATTTGGTGCAGTCACCGAGCTATACCTTCTCTTGAGCCTTGTCTGACACACATTCTCGATTACCTGCTCAGTTAAAAAACCTCTGGATTATCATTGAGTTCTATCAAAGTTCACCTAGCTACAATCACAGCTCTTCATCCCCCTAATTGAAGAGTTTTCAGTTTTCATAGAATCATAGAATATCAGGGTTGGAAGGGACCCCTGAAAGTCATCTAGTCCAACCCCCCTGCTCGAAGCAGGACCAATTCCCAGTTAAATCATCCCAGCCAGGGCTTTGTCAAGCCTGACCTTAAAAACCTCTAAGGAAGGAGATTCTACCACCTCCCTAGGTAACGCATTCCAGTGTTTCACCACCCTCTTAGTGAAAAAGTTTTTCCTAATATCCAATCTAAACCTCCCCCACTGCAACTTGAGACCATTACTCCTCGTTCTGTCATCTGCTACCATTGAGAACAGTCTAGAGCCATCCTCTTTGGAACCCCCTTTCAGGTAGTTGAAAGCAGCTATCAAATCCCCCCTCATTCTTCTCTTCTGCAGGCTAAACAATCCCAGCTCCCTCAGCCTCTCCTCATAAGTCATGTGTTCCAGACCCCTAATCATTTTTGTTGCCCTTCGCTGGACTCTCTCCAATTTATCCACATCCTTCTTGTAGTGTGGGGCCCAAAACTGGACACAGTACTCCAGATGAGGCCTCACCAATGTCGAATAGAGGGGAACGATCACGTCCCTCGATCTGCTCGCTATGCCCCTACTTATACATCCCAAAATGCCATTGGCCTTCTTGGCAACAAGGGCACACTGCTGACTCATATCCAGCTTCTCGTCCACTGTCACCCCTAGGTCCTTTTCCGCAGAACTACTGCCTAGCCATTCGGCCCCTAGTCTGTAGCGGTGCATTGGATTCTTCCATCCTAAGTGCAGGACCCTGCACTTATCCTTATTGAACCTCATCAGATTTCTTTTGGCCCAATCCTCCAATTTGTCTAGGTCCTTCTGTATCCTATCCCTCCCCTCCAGCATATCTACCACTCCTCCCAATTTAGTATCATCCGCAAATTTGCTGAGAGTGCAATCCACCCCATCCTCCAGATCATTTATGAAGATATTGAACAAAACCGGCCCCAGGACCGACCCTTGGGGCACTCCACTTGATACCGGCTGCCAACTAGACATGGAGCCATTGATCACTACCCGTTGAGCCCGACAATCTAGCCAGCTTTCTACCCACCTTATAGTGCATTCATCCAGCCCATACTTCCTTAACTTGCTGACAAAAATACTTTGGGAGACTGTGTTAAAAGCTTTGCTAAAGTCAAGAAACAATACATCCACTGCTTTCCCTTCATCCATAGAACCAGTAATCTCATCATAAAAGGTGATTAGATTAGTCAGGCATGACCTTCCCTTGGTGAATCCATGCTGGCTGTTCCTGATCACTTTCCTCTCATGCAAGTGCTTCAGGATTGATTCTTTGAGGACCTGCTCCATGATTTTCCCAGGGACTGAGGTGAGGCTGACTGGCCTGTAGTTCCCAGGATCCTCCTTCTTCCCTTTTTTAAAGATTGGCACTACATTAGCCTTTTTCCAGTCATCCGGGACTTCCCCGGTTCGCCACGAGTTTTCAAAGATAATGGCCAATGGCTCTGCAATCACAGCCGCCAATTCCTTCAGCACTCTCGGATGCAACTCGTCCGGGCCCATGGACTTGTGCACATCCAGCTTTTCTAAATAGTCCCTAACCACCTCTATCTCCACAGAGGGCTGGCCATCTCTTCCCCATTTTGTGATGCCCAGCGCAGCAGTCTGGGAGCTGACCTTGTTAGTGACGACAGAGGCAAAAAAAGCATTGAGTACATTAGCTTTTTCCACATCCTCTGTCACTAGGTTGCCTCCCTCATTCAGTAGGGGGCCCACACTGTCCTTGGCTTTCTTCTTGTTGCCAACATACCTGAAGAAACCCTTCTTGTTACTCTTGACATCTCTTGCTAGCTGCAGCTCCAGGTGCGATTTGGCCCTCCTGATATCATTCCTACATGCCCGAGCAATATTTTTATACTCTTCCCTGGTCATATGTCCAACCTTACACTTCTTGTAAGCTTCTTTTTTATGTTTAAGATCCTCTAGGATTTCACTATTAAGCCAAGCTGGTCGCCTGCCATATTTACTATTCTTTCGACTCATCGGGATGGTTTGTCCCTGTAACCTCAACAGGGATTCCTTGAAATACAGCCAGCTCTCCTGGACTCCTTTCCCCTTCAAGTTAGTCCCCCAGGGGATCCTGGCCATTCGTTTTCACCCACTCAACCACAACAAGGTTTATCGAAGTCGTCTTCAACTTCTTCCCTCCTGTCAAGGAACCAACTCCACCGTGGGACCTCAGCTTAGTCTTCAGTGCCCTGAGAAAACCCCCTTTGAACGTATGTTGAATTGTTCCCACCTTCATCTATCCCTTAAGACTGTGTTCCTCATAGCTGTCACCTCAGCGAGGAGAGCTTGGAGCTTTGATGGCTGACTCACTGTATACAGTATTTCGTCATGACAAGGTGTTGACATGTTTACCCCTTGCTTCCCCTTCCAAGAGTCATTGCTCATTCCACCAGGGATCAATCTAGCACAGTAGCCTTGCTGAAAAACATACCTATCCTGATAGGGCAGCCACCTGGTCCTGGGTTCATGTTTTCCCAGGAGTACACTCTTGTCAGCTCTGGATGCAGTTACATGGCTTTTGGCGAGGCTGTTCTACAGTCTGAACTGAATCCACCTCCTTGGCCCCCTTCTCCAGGATGAAGTACTGCTCAGAAGTCTCCTGACATAGAGCACCCATAGGGACATTAGTCAAAGATGGAGAGGTTACTTACCTTGTGTAGCAATGACATGTGTGTCCCTGTGAGTGCTCCCCTCTGCCTTGGAGTCTGACTCTTTCTACTTCCATGCTTGAGAAGGATTGGAAATGGCGGCAGGTCCACTCCCCCATCTCTCCTCAGATTGGGGCAGAAGGGTGTCTAGGGCACAGGCATGGACCCACAGACACTGCTGATGAAAATTTCCAATCAAGAGCACACAGGTGTGTGCATATCATGACATGGAGCACCCAAATTACACAAATCTTTAAGAACTCCAGTTACTGTACCAGGTAAGTGACCTTTTCATCCTGTGGAATCCCCATTTCCAGAGCTCACCAATGCCAGACTAGATAATTAAACTACTGGGAGATAGTGGGATAATTAAACTACTGTACAGAGCGACTGGACTGAGGAGGAAGCATGGGCTTGTGGTTCAGCACAAGGCTGGGAGTCGAGATTTAGTTAATATTGCTGGCTCTGCCACAAACCTCCAGTGTGACCTTGGATAAGTCACTTCCATTCTCTGTGGATCCATTTCCTCTCCCCAGAAAAGGAAGTAGTAATCCTGCCCTGCCCCCCGAATGGAGCCGGTATGTAAAGGAGTATAGCTTGGATGGAAGTGGCTCAAGAAATGCAAGGCATTGTTCTAATGATAAAACCATCTCACTGTTACAGAGCCCCGGCCACCCCAGACATTCCTGGGGGAGGCAGGACGCTTGTAGGGCCACGGCTACAACAGACAGTTCTTTGATCCCTATTTTCTCTCTCTCTTTTTCTAGTCCCTTTTGAAGAAGAATGCTCCTGCTTATTCCAGTTCTACCTCAATGGCAGCTGTCATAGGAAATCCCAAACTCCCTGCAGCAGTGATGGACAGATGGCTTTGGGGGCCTATGCCCTCTGCAGAAGAAGAGGCCTATATGGTATCTGAATTACTTGGCTGCCAGCCTCTGGTTGGCAACGTGGCAACGAAAGAGAGGGTCATGAGCGCACTCACTCAGGCAGAGTGTGTCCATTTTGCAACCCATGTGTCCTGGAAGCTGGCTGCCTTGGTCCTAACGCCCAACGCTGATAGCAACCCAGCCAGTAGCAAGAGCTCCTTTGGGAATCCCTACACAATTCCAGAATCCCTCCGGATGCAGGATGATGCCAGTGATGTGGAGAGTATCTCAGACTGCCCTCCTCTCCAGGAGTTCCTGCTCACAGCAGCCGACGTTCTGGATCTGCGGCTTCCTGTCAAATTAGTGGTTTTCGGCTCCTACCAAGAGTCCAACAGTAAAGTCACTGCTGATGGGGTCGTCGGCTTGACACGGGCATTCCTGGCTGCTGGGGCTCAATGTGTCTTGGTGTCACTCTGGCCTGTTCCTGTGGCCGCATCGAAAATGTTTGTGCATGCCTTCTATGCCTCCCTCCTGAATGGAACGAAAGCCAGTGCAGCCCTCGGAGAGGCCATGAAAACAGTGCAGAGCAGCAAGCAGTTCTCCCATCCATCCAACTGGGCAGGTAGGAGGAATCTGCTTCTTGGGACGGTTCTCATAATAAACAGGAAAGCGTTTGTAGGAGAAACACTTACACCAATTTGTTTGTATTGAGCAAGGAGCTGTGCTAGCAGCAGGGTGCCTGAGTAACACTCTGTGCCATTACAGCGACCAGAAGCTGTGTATCAGACCTGGTTCTGCTCTGAGTGTTGCTGAATGACTGGCCAGTGGGAAATAGTCATTCTTCAATGTAACAATGGGGAGAGCATGTGTTCGACATAATTTACAGCGTATGAAATGCACCTGTCTCATCAGGGAGGTTTAATCATTAGGAAGACCTGATATGCTAAGGGCCATGCAGGCAGGAAATTACCCAGGATCCCCAGCTGATAACAAATAAGATTCCTTTTCTCCCTACAGATTACAGACCAGGATGTGTTATTCTTACTGATACGTGTCCAACACGGTACAGCAGAAAGATTTGATTCCCATTAGTGTAATGGTGGGGTGAGGGTGTTTCTTGAATAGAACTGTAACAACCGTGCTGTAATCCACTGAGGAAGATGTGTACTTAATTCAACATTTTAAAATTAAATGTGCTAAATAGTTCAGTGATGAGAAATAAGGAACTGAGACTATTCACCCTTGTTGTACCTTAGCTAGAGACTGTGAGGAATAGCGGCCACCCTAAGAACGTCCCAGAATTCCAGAGAGATGAGGCTTTTCCGGAGTTTGTAAGAATACTGGCAGTATTCCCATCACAGCAGCATTTTCCTCTAGAACTGACCGTCTTGTTCAATGCGTGTCTTCTGCACACTTAGGTTAGATGTGTAACCTAGCTATGTTGAGGACATGAGTGTAACATTTCTTTAAGAGGCAGTGCCAGCAACAGCAGCAGGCGTAATCTCCAGGAGGAAACATGACAAGACTTGCTTCTGCGCGCCTCTCGTATGTGAGGTTTCCGCTGACATCAGTGGGAGTTCTACAAGCAGAACAGTTGAAGGATCAGGCTCCCTCAGTGCCAGTCAGGAGTGGTTTGATTAATCAAAGGAGAGTCAGAAAGAGAAAGACACTGAGGTTAGCAACAGAGCGACTGGAATTACATTAAATATGAAGCGTATTTTTCTCAGCAAAAATCCTCCTTTCCGAAAGCTGTGCATGTGTCCCAAGCATGTCCCCAGTGTACCCAGCTGGGCTGAAGTGCTTAGATTGGGTAGCTGCTGTGTGCAGAACCCTAGTGCCAAGTGTTTGTTACCAGAAGGAGAGAGAGCTCGTGTGCTGTTTACTAAAGTGAGCACCTGGGATTAAACCCACGCAGAACTGTCTTGTCTCGCTGAGTCTAGTATTAGGAGGTGATCCAAGGAAAACCAGAGGGAAGTTGGACTTAGGGTACAGACCAAAGTTCAGTTTATCCTTGTTTTTCCTTCTAAGGGAGTTTGTCAGCCTGGCAAGAAAGAGAAGAAATGTGAATGGCTTTCCAGAGCAGACCCCTCATCAGAGGCGTAACAGAACAGACATGGGAGCTCTCCACGCCACTACCAGCAGGGGCAGGCAGGGAATGGCACATAGGGATCCCTGCTCCTCCCCTGAATCCATATGCAAATCCTCAACCCCCATGCTTCTCTTGAGGGTTAGGAATTGAGATTTCAAACAGAAATAATGCCTCACACTAGAGATGAGCACATGCCCATCCAGCTGCAATAAACAGGGGAGGGAGGAAGAATATTTGCATGGTGCACAAGCTAGCGGCCTGGGCAAAGTAGGCATCTTTCCCCAAACAGGGACAGCTCTCCATTTTCAGGGTTCTATTGTTTGCTGGCAGTATTTAGCTTTTATTGATTTCTGCTCCTGTAAAGAAGATGAGGAGCATGCTAGGGCAAGTGTCTCTGCATTGCCACATTTTTCCACATATGTGAGCAGGAAAACAGTATTGATTTCATAAAGGGGGAGAGCAGAGAGCATTGAAGAAGCATCCTAGAAGTTAGGTCCCTGGGCCTAGGCGGGTGGAGGCAGCTGTTCTGGATTCTCCCTTCTCTGTGGGTAGGCACATAACTAAACAAGGGGCAATGAGCTATTCATTTCTGTTAGCTTGAGGAAGGCATAGTATTTGTTTTTCTGGGACAAGAGGAGATTAAGAAGCTCTTTGTCTGAATCCTGCAGGCTTCATGCTCATTGGGAGTGATGTGAAGCTTAACAGCCCTTCCTCACTAATTGGACAGGCCCTGACAGAGATTCTGCAGCACCCGGAGAGAGCACGAGATGCCCTGAGAGTCTTGTTACATCTGGTAAGCAAGAGAGAGCTGCCATAAGAGTATCCCCTGCAACCTGAGAGAGGCAGCAATAAGACCCTTGCAGTCTTGCTTTGGAGAGGCTGTCAAGGCTCCTTCCTGCAGCCTGGAAAGTGCCATCAAAATTTACAGACACAAAATGTGGGTCCCTGCCTTGGAGTATGGCAGATGCCTCCTCTTAACTTTTGGAAGGTGATGTCATCTGTGGTGAGGTGTCTCTGAATGTTGAATGGGTGGGGAAGCATTTCGATTTAACTTCAGGAGTAAACCCCCAACCCTCCTTCTCCTCCCTCTGCCTGTGTAATCCCTGCAACTACTCCCTGTCCCTAGGAGAAGAATGGGACACCAGGCAGAGATTCACTTTACTAGCATGACAAATAAAATCCCTCCATCAGACCCAGCTGATTTGCATATGCTGCTGAGTGGGTCTGTGCTTTGAAAATGAGATTGTCACTGAGGTTAATTGTTTTTATGACAGAATTGCTGTGAACTAGGCAAGAAGTAGGGAGGTGAGAATGAAGACACTGTGTAGTGTGTCTCCTTCCTTGCTAGCCAAGTGACCACCCTCTCTCTACAGATCTTAAGGACTGATGGCTTCAAGCCAAGAATGAACACTGCAGTTTAGAACAGAGCAAGCTCTAAAGCAGCAAGGTTTGTTAGGCAAAAGAGCTGACTCTTTGGGTCCTTCCCTTCTTGTCACCTGATACTGCATGATGCAGGACATTCTGTTCAGTGGACAGCTTTCACCAGAAAATACCACACTGAAATCCACAGCGTTTAACCCCAAAACAGCAGCTCACATGGAAGTTTAATGAGACTCTGGTGTTCCCATAGGTACCAATAACCAGCTTTGGGGAGCAGTGAATGCTGTGACTGATGTGATCTGTAGGTAAAACTCTGGGATGGTTATAATACTATCCTCTCACATCATTTCCTCCTAAAGGACCCTCCTAGTTTCCTTAGGGGCAGTGTCCATGTTGTAATGGCAACACTAGTCGACTGATGATGATAATCCCAGCTGCATCAGGCTGGAAAGGGAGGAGGGTTCTATTTACCATCCAATTGGTAAGTCTGCACATGGAACACTATAACCTGGTAGTCAGCAGCAGACCCAAGAGGCTGGAAATCATAACTCAGCGATTCTGTGGGGACAAATACGGCCACCTGGCTTACGGGAAATCATCTCTTCATGATAGGCTGGAAAATGGGCAGATTCCTCCTCCCAGGCAAACATGTAGCCTAGTTTTCCATGGCCCTCATCTGCCCAAGATGCTGCTATAGGCTGCCTGACTTCTCATTTTACAGCTATACATGAATTAGTGGAGCCTCTAGTTCCAAAGGGCCCTGACCACCTCCTGTCTGAGGCTGATTGCCATATCTCTGTCACCCAGCCCACCCCTTGACCTGAGATGCCTTTCTGCTCCTGACACTGCAGAAAGAGGAAAGGGTTAATGATAAACTTACTGCAGAATAAGCTAATGCAGTCTTTTGTCCCGGAGGTGGAGAAATCACTGCAGCGAATCCAGAATGGGCAGCACAATTCCATGTACACCTCTCAGCAGAGTGTGGAGAATAAAGTTGGTGGCATTCCAGGCTGGCAGGCACTACTCACTGCTGTGGGGTTTCGACTTGACCCTCCCGCTAGTGGTCTTCCAGCTGCAGTGTTCTTCCCGACTTCAGACCCCGGTGAACGGCTACAGCAATGCAGCACCACCATCCAGTCCCTCTTAGGTAAGGAGCAGGCCACAGGGGGCTCTGGCATCGTCCGTGTTAGCAGGCTCTTGTCCACTTGCTGCCTCTTGGATGGGAGGAGTGGGAAATCTTGCTGTTCAGCTGTTGTTCTGTGCTTTTACAGGGACTAAGTAAAATCATGGAATGGGACTTGGGTAAGAGCAGTTGCTCCCAGCATAGCCTAGAGCAGGCTTTGCAGTGAGAACATGGCTGCTTCAGCCACAGATCCCGTTCATTTCCCTCTGGTCCCAATACCCGAGGAGCCAGGGTGTTATTCTTCCTCTGTCCCTGCTCCCAGACGGGAGTTCACTCATCAGGTGCAAAGCTTGTAAAATCCTTACTGTTTGTAGAAACCACAGCCCCTTTCAGGAGCCCTAGTTAGTATGGGAAGCTGGGTCCAGGTGTTGCTTTGGGATGGTTTCTCTCAGGCAGTTCAGAGGCAGCTTTGAACAAACTTTATGGTTTCTGATTTTTTTCAGGTTTGCCTAACCCAGCACTTCAGGCACTTTGCAAACTTATTACTGCTTCAGAGACTGGAGAGCAGCTTATCAATCGGGTGAGTAGGGTGGTGACGCTACAGCACCATGCCTCAAATCCTGCCTAGGGCAAAGGAGTCCCAGAGCCACGGATTGCTTTGTAACTAGCAGAGCAAAACAGACAGAGTGGGTTTTGTGCCCAGAGTTCAAGAACTGTCTCTCTTGTCTGCTCGAGTGAGTGAATGCCTTGGCACGTGGGGGGCAGGCACACTGGTGGACTTCTCAGCTCAGTGACAGAACTGAGAGCATGTGACATGCACACCAGTAGTGCTGTACAGTACAGCTGAGGAAGGTGGGATCCTAGCACTGAGGGATGGAAAACTTGATTAGGTCCCAGTCAGCCCATCACCCTAAGAGCTTGTACTGGGCTGTTCCCTTCAGGATATTCCCTAATGCTTCATCCAGTGTAGTTCCCTTGGACAGTGCCTCTCAGACCTGTGCTGTTACGTGTGGGCAGCTCGCAGCTCTGCCAAACAGGTTTCCAGCCTCTGTTAGATCCGCTGTCGTGTGGGAATGCACTGCTGCCTATAGCTCCATGGCCTCCATTACCCCAGCCTTCCTTACTCTTCCACCCTGTCCGTCCTGACCCAGCTCTGATCCATGCGTGCCCCCGCATGGCTGGCATGCTTCAGCATGTTCCTCTTCAGACCAGGCCAGTTGTCTGCCCCAGCAAGTGGGCGCACAATGAATTGTGAACAGGGATGTAGCTCACCATCCCTGTGTCTTGCACAGATATTTTCCTGACCACCAGTATCAGGTTTTCTGGAGAAATACATCAGTGGGCAGCTGGGACCTGTGCTCTCTCTGTTAGGCATTCCCACTTCAGCTAAGAGGGCTTCCTTTGGATCGTCAGGCCAAGAGTCCCTGTTCAAGAATCTCGCTGCCAGTGCTGCGTCTGTGCAGACAACCATTAGGAGGGGAGCCCAGAGTAAATGGAACAGGTGGTTTAAAGGACAACAATCCAACATTCTCTATAAAAATCTCCACATGACTGTTTCCTGCTTGTGTTCTTGCCGCAGACAATTAAATCACCCAAGAAAAAGCAGACTTCAGATGGCTGCATGCAGCTAACAAAAGATTTACTCACCATTTCCCCAGCCGCCTGCTGCAGAGATGTTGCATTGTTTCTGCAGATGTTCTTGTGCAGGCCAAACCCCAGACAGATTTCTCTTTGCACAGGAATAGTGCTGGGTTGTTCAGCCCAGCTCTCTCCTCTGCTGCAGTCCATTCCCCCCAGAAATTCTCTTGAGGTCCCTTCCAGTCCTACAGGTCTATGAAAACCACAGGGGCACGATTGACAGGCACAGTCCATTGACACTATTTCCTTCCCAGCTCCAGCTTGTGCCTCTGTAGTATGGATGGAGCAGGGCTTGTTCTCCTGAATGCTTCTATCATCCCTTTCCCTTAGGGACACCTGGCATTGCCCAGGAAAATACAGCAGACACTGCACCCAGGTACACGGGTTGATGGAAGCCAGGCTCCTTGAAATGCAAAGCCCAGAACCATACTGTCCCCCACAATCTGAGAGGAAGGCAGCCAGTTTGTAATGCTACTTCCCCAGCCTCCCTGTCAAGCTCAGGAACTGAGTCAGGAATGTTGGGTCCCATCTCTTGCTATCTTGCTTCAGCCACATCCCAAAGTTACCACCCTCTGGTACCAGGGCTAAGATCATGGCATTTTCACTATGACCTTGTGGTGCTGAGACCTCTGTCTTAGCTGCCCAATCTGTGAATAGGGATAGTGATCCTCCCTCCATGGGGGCTGTGAGAGTAAACTATGTAAGTACTGTAAAAGCAGCAAAGAGTCCTGTGGCACCTTCTAGACTAACAGATGTATTGGAGCATAAGCTTTCGTGGGTGAATACGCACTTCGTCAGATGCATGTAGTGGAAATTTCCAGAGGCAGGTATAAATATGCAAGCAAGAATCAGGCTAGGGATACCAAGGTTAGTTCAATCAGGGAGGATGAGGCCCTCTTCTAGCAGTTGCGGTGTGAACACCAAGGGAGGAGAAACTGCTTTGTAGTTGGCTAGCTAGTCACAGTCTTTGTGAATGGCTAGCCAACTATATTCTGAGCATTCATTATCATTAAGGAAACAATGGTTTCTACTTTGCACAGGCCAGTATGACCTGGCCTGCAAAACTGCTACAGAGTGACTGCTCCATCCAATCTCCTACGCGTTCAGAGATCAGGCGCCTTGGGAGAAGCTGCTTTGCGTGTGAGTTGCTCTGCTCCTCAGTCAGGTTGTTTAGTTCTAAAAGAGCAGCTCCAGCATTTGACACAGCGCAAACAGTCCCCACTGCAGCATCCGTTCTCTCTGTGCACCCCGCGGGGCTAAAAGTTACACACACTGAAAAGACCCTTTGGATTGGGAGGTAGGTGGTGCTGCACAGTTCTAGGGTGCATTGTGGGGGAGGCTTCTCGAGGTGGATTTCAAGGCTGCTGTAATGCGCGCTGCCTTCATCCCTGACTTGTGTTCACTGCAGTGTCTGAGGAGGAGAAAGTGTTCCTGGGAACAGTGAAGCACTGAGCCTGCGCCCTTCTCTCTGGGCTGCTTGTGTGTATTTGTTATGGAAGAGATAAGGACCGTAAGCCTTGTTTGCACGTGCAGTGGGACTGCTAGGGAGTAAAGATTGCATCAAATGCCAGTAAACAGCCCCTGAAAGGAAACTAGAGGAAGGTTGTTTATGTTCCACCTCCTGTCAAAAGATGGATGATTCTGGGGCTCATCTCCTCATTGGCAGGGTTGTAGCTGCCTGTGAAGTGCCAGCTCTGGTTTTAACAGCTTAGGGACTTACAGATTCCAGCTGCCTGTTCCTGGTTGTTTGGTCCCTTCACTCCCAGCCCTCATTGTCCCTTCTCCTCCTGCTCTGTGCTGTGCATCTTGCAGGAGGGGGCTGGCTTGTGATGATCTACTTTGGCCCTATAGGGCTTCATGCCATGCTCACTTCATAATGCAGAATAACCCATGTTCTTTCTTTCTTTCCTTCTCTCTTTTCTTATCTGCTACCCGAAGGCTGTTAAAAATATGGTGGGAATGGTGAGTACAACAAACACCAGGGAACATTACTCCTCTGCAGAGGCAAGCCCTGGGCTCTGGAAAACTTTTCAGCCCCATTTCCCTGCGTTACAGTTTAATAGTCACCAAATTTTTAGGCCTGGGATTTGCTTAATTACTTCTAATGGGGAGAAAGGACATTGTGGTGTTGGGCCTGTGCCGCAGGCGTAGTGTAGATGAGGCTGGGAGTCGGGTTTTGTCCTTCCCCCTCTTCCCCACCCAGGCCTTCCCCTTTGTGCATGAATGCAGTACCCTGTGGGTACAAGAAGGGGAACTGCTCCCCGGAGGTCCTGGCAACATGAGGGAAATCTTGGGCTGTTTCCCATGACTGACTTTGTCTTGTTTAGTGCAGCTGGGGTGTTCCTGGGTTTGGCCTCACACCTGATCAAATGGCCCAGTTACAGAATGGCCTTTAAGTGGCCATGAGCAGCCACTAAGCACCCTCCTCCTTTTCTTTCTTCCTGCAGTTTTCGTACTGTGCTTCCCTCCTGCCCTTTCTCTGAAAACAGCCGCACTCTAAGGGCTTGGCTACACTTGCAGATATAGAGTGCTTTGGGTTAAACCACCCTTCATACAGTGCAGTAGGGAAAGCCCTGCAATCTGTGCACACTGACAGCTGAAAGCGCAGTGGTGTGGCCACATTTGCAGCTGCATTGGGACCAGTGCATTATGGGCAGCTATCCCAGCGTTCAAGTGGCTGCAACGTGCTTTTCAAATGGGGAGTGTGTATGTGGGGGTGGGGAGTGGGTTTTTGGGGTGCTGATAGTGTGTCAGCACACTGTCTTGTAAGTACAGACCCTCCTCCCTCCCCCAGCTCTCTCTCACTCACTCAAAGCAAACATTAGCTGTGGGGCCAGTTCTGCATTCCTGTTGTTTGTTCACAACAAAGAGAGGCCACTTCAGTTAATGGGATTATGGGACATTTCGGGAGGGCAATCAGAGCGCTGTAAGGTAACTCCAACTCCTCGTTCACACTGACACTGTAGCGTCTCATCCAATACGCAGCAAACCTTATCCCTCTCGGGGAGGTGGAGTACCAGCAGCGCTCTAGCCAGGGAGTCAGAGCACTCTACGTGCCTTGCCAGTGTGGACGGGGAGTGAGTTAGAGCACTCTGGGTGGCTTTACTGCGGTATAGCATGCAAGTGTAGCCAAGGCCTAACTCACCTCACAAGGGTTCACGTGTCCCTGCTGGAGTCTTCCCAGCACTAGTGCAGAATGTCTGGCCAGTTGTAGGGCCACTCCCTCTGTGCAGAGTGTGACCCCACTCGGGCAGCACCTTGACTCCTGCACTAGACAGCGTACTAGTGACTATCCAGGACAAAGGCAGATTAGGTGTGACCCCACAGGCTGGGAATGTCAGCCAGGAGGTGAATGGGTTGGTATGGAAGGGCTGATGTTTGTTCTGTCATCCTCAGCTACATCAGGTCTTGGTTCAACTCCAAGCAGGAGAGAAGGAGCAGGATTTCTCCTCTGCACCGATCCAGGTTTCCATCAGTGTCCAGCTCTGGAGGCTTCCTGGCTGCCACGAGTTTCTGGCAGCCTTGGGTAAGAGCATGTTTCCTTATTTTATTGCTGCTGTCTGTTGTGGCCATCCAACACCTTACACTTCACAAGCACCTTCACTGCTTACATCCTTTGGTATGTAGGCACGATGGCCCAGCTGCTCATTACCTGGCCGAGTGAATCCTTCTCTGGTCACTGTGAGCAGAGATTGCTCTCCCTGTGTGATTGCCACATGGAGAACTTTGTGTGTATGTGTTACTCCTGGGGGAATTCTGCACCAAAAAATTAAAAATTCTGCTAATTTTATTTGTCAAAATAACACTACATAATCCATAGAGTCATAGATAGATTCATAGATTATGATCATTATGATCATCTCGTCTGACCTCCTGCACAATGCAGGCCACAGAATCTTAACCACCCACTCCTGCGATAAATCTCTCACCTATGTCTGAGCTATTGAAGTCCTCAAATCATGGTTTAAAGACTTCAAGGAGCAGAGAATCCTCCAGCAAGTGACCTGTGCCCCATGCTACAGAGGAAGGTGAAAAACCACCAGGGCCTCTGCCAATCTGCCCTGGAGGAAAATTCCTTCCCGACTCCAAATATGGCGATCAGCTGAACCCTGAGCATATGGGCAAGATTCACCAGCCAGATACCCAGGAAAGAATTCTCTGTCGTAACTCAGATCCCACCCCATTTAACATCCCATCACAAGCTATTGGGCCTATTTACCATGAATATATAAAGATCAGTTAATTGCCAAAATCATAGTATGACATCATGCCAGTTTCAATTATTTTGGTAATTTATTTCAAAATACCTGTCAGCAATATGTCTGTAACAATACAGACACACACAAATTCCTCCAGGAGTAGAGAGTTAAAGAAACCCGTATGACAACCCAGTTCCTGTTTCTCTGCCCGCTTCTTCCCCCCCAGAGCCCAGCCGGGGGCCAGATACCCACAATCGCTCCCCCCCAGAGCCCACCTGTGCGGGCCTCCCTCAGCAAATACACCCGAACCCCTTCATCCCCAGAGCCTAGGGATCCAGAGGGAGAAACAGCCTGATGTCCAGTTCCAGGTTTGCATGGAGTTTCCTGCATGCCACGCTCTCCTTCCCTCAGGGTATGCTAACCCTCTAGCTCCCTCCCCCTTTCCCCGGCAATGTCTTCTATGCGCGAGCTGGGCTCTGCCAAGTCCCGTGGTCCCTAGTGGTAGCTAGCAGCACTGCAGCCTATTTCTGTGGGGGAAGGGAAATTCTGCGTGCACGTTAATTTCTGCAAAATTCAGCATCGCGCAGTGGCACAAAAATCCCCCAGGACTTCTGCACCCTAACACCACCTCAGTCAGCAGGACCTAGATAATATTGACTTCAAGTGGCAACTTCCGTTTGATTTGAGAGCAGCCCAGTTTTGCCTTGGCCCCATTTCCTGGCAAGGGTATGTAAGTAGGTAATGAATGAGAGGGTACAACCACTTAGAAGGAAATGGAGTGGAAAGAAGACAAAGATAAGTCATTGCCTTCCTATCTGCCCTCCACCCTCATCCTTCCATGCGTCAGCATCTCATGCCTTCTCCAGACTGCCCCGAACCCTCCCTGCACTGAACTCCAAGGCCATTGCCCTCTCCCTAGACCCACCACTGCTACGATCCCCTTAAGAAATCAACCAGTCAATGACAGCTGGAGGGGGCACATGGGGCATAATTAGCACTGACTCTATTTATAAATATTAGGAAAACATTTGCTTGTGTGTATATCTATAAAATAGAACATATTTGGTTATTTTTCTTTCCTCCATCCGACCCAGGTAAGCTCCTCAGGGCAAGGACTGTGTCTTCCTATGTGTTTGTACAGCGCCCAGCACAATAAGGCCCCTATCATTATGGGACACGTGGGCACTTACTGGAATAGACATATTAAATACTAACCAGGCAGCACATTGGCACAGAGGAGACAGCCCTGAGCAAGGCCACTGCAAGGTCCTCGTGTCTGTTTGCTCTATGGGGATTATATGCAGCATCTGATGAAGTGAGCTGTAGCTCACAAAAGCTTATGCTCAAATAAATTTGTTAGTCTCTAAGGTGCCACAAGTACTCCTTTTCTTTTTGTGAATACAGACTAACACGGCTGCTACTCTGAAACCTGTCATTATGCAGCATCAGTAACTTACTGGGACCAGTTCAAGGTACAGAATCTTTGGGTGAGAAATGGTTTTCTGCTCTATGTTCTCCTACAGGTTTTGACCTTTGTGAAGTTGGGCAGGAGGAGGTGATACTGAAAACTGGGAAACAAGCTAATAGGAGGACCATGCACTTTGCTCTCCAGTCCCTGCTGGCACTTTTTGGTAAGGCTACCTGAAGTGACATTATTTGATCTTGTTCCATCTGATGGCTGGAGGATGATGGTATCTACTGAGGTGGAGTATTACCATCTTTTGCACAAAGAAAAGTGTTACACACAGTTGCTTATCTAGTGAACAAGGGTGTGTGGCACTTCCCAAGCCTGTGCGTTGTCTGCCAGAGAGCTCCCTGTGTGTTTAGACAGGCCTGAAGCTGGGGCAGCTAGCTCTCCACCACTGCTCTGACTATAGGACTCTCTGCAAACATTGAGAAGTGGAGATATAAGGAGGAGAGGGAGTTTATTTGGCAAATACTATGGGTGGGGTGTCTTAGGCCCACGGGGGTGCACTGAACTAGGCACAACATGGGGGAAGGGGACACTTAATGGACAAGGATTGGGCAGAGGATAGGGGGTGTGGATGAGCAAAAGGAAATCTGGAGAGATTTCTGTCTCTCCAAGGAAAATTTGGGAGATAGGTTGGTCACTTCCATCTCTAACTTCTATGATTCGTATAGTCACTAGTTCCCCTGGAGCTAAATCTCTTTTAGAGTAAAACAGAATGGCATTCAGTTCTCTACAAACAGAGAGCGGCTGTCAGTAAGCGAATATGGATCGTGTCCCTTAAACAGTTCAGGGGCATCACCCAGTTTCTATTACTCTGTAGTATGAATTAGTGCTGGGACAGCACTGAAATCCTCTATTTATATAAAACAGAGACCATAGGGGCAGTATGGACTTCCACCTCTCAGCATGCCTCAGCTACACTCTGGAGAGATCAGATTGATGAGAGGGGAGTTTAGGTTCCATCAACTGGCCTTTCACTCAGCTGAGTCTGCCAACAGGGGCGCAAACTGTAGTAGTATCTTTTTGTGCTGTGGATGCTCGTAGACTGGGATCAAGCTCCACCAAATACCAGCTCATTCCTGACCTGAGCTGGCTTTGACTTGGTGTCCCATCAGTGCAAGGTTTGATATTTCTTAACAGTCCCGTGTCCTGTCGCTCTCACACTATTGCCTTGTGTGCCTACGATGGCTGCAAGCTCGATTTGTTCTCAGTCCCTTATGGTACCATATAGGACTGGGGCAGCTAAAGTCAGGTGACTGCACCAGCAGCATGTTTAGGTATTTGTCCTAAATGAGCCTGCCATAGCCATGGCCCTATGACCACAGCTGTAGAATGCTCAGCAATGCGGAAATACTCTTCTAAACCTATGATTCTATTAGTCAGCACTTTCCTTCCAAGCATCTCAAAATGCTTTTCAAATGTTAATGGATTAGACCTCACAGCACTCCTGCAAGAAAGGGGAAACACTAGCCTCATTTCACAGACAGGGACATCAAGGCATGGAGCTTTTGTCTTGCCCTTGGTCACACAACCAGTCGATGCCAGAGTTAGGAATAGAACTCAGGTCGGTTGGCAGTTGGAGTCTTATATGAAGAGGTGATTTGGAGGGCTAAAATATCAACTCAACCAACTTCTTTTCTGGTAGAAGCACTGAGTTTCTGCATGCTCCTTTCCTGGGATGACACATTATGTTTCTCACATAATTCGCAGTTGTGGAGTGGAAGCAGCACTGGAGTTGTTAAACAAATGAGACTAGATCGAAGCAGTGAGATTGGGGGCATATACTGTGCCATTTGCTTTCATTGTAATAAGTGCTGTTGTTTTCATTTACTTAGATTCTACAGAGTTGCCCAAACGTCTTAGCCTGGACAGTTCCTCATCACTGGAATCACTGGCTTCTGCTCAGTCCATTTCCAACCCAATGCCTTTGGGATATCAGAACCCTCCATTCTCTCCTACTTGTCCAGACAGTATTGCATCAGACGCCATTTCTGTGTACAGCCTGAGCTCTATCGCTTCTTCAATGAGTTTTGTTTCCAAGCCAGAGAGCACATCAGAAAGTGCAGGGCACAGAGGGCGACAGGACTATGAAAGGCCTAAGAATGTCTGTCCGCAAAGGTCCTCTGTGCCACGGAGCCAGCTGTCTCCACAGACCAATGCTGCAGCCAGCAAAGACAATGAGGAGTATGAAGGATTTTCTATAATCAGCAATGAGCCTATGGCAACTTATCAAGAAAATATAAAATCAAGATTTTCCCCTGATCACAAACAATCCAAAGCTGGTCAGTCTAGCGGGATTAAAGTTTCTGTCAGTTCCAAAGGGAGCATAAGTACCCCAAATTCCCCTGTTAAAATGACTCTTATTCCCAGTCCAAACTCACCTTTCCAAAAAGTTGGAAAACTTGCTAGTTCTGATACTGGAGAATCTGACCAATCTAGCACTGAAACTGACAGCACTGTCAAATCCCAAGAGGAGAACAATCCAAAGCTCGATCCACAAGAGTTGGCCCAGAAAATTCTGGAGGAGACTCAAAGTCACCTTATTGCTGTTGAACGTCTTCAAAGAAGCGGCAGTCAGATGAGCAAGAAGAACTCGGAAGATGGAGCAGCAGCTGGTGCTTCTGTATTCAGAGCCTCAGAGACCAGTGCGTTCAGTAGGCCACTGAGCTCCAGTCAGAGGAGTCATCCTTCGCCAGTTACAATTAAACCAAAGCCTCCAACAAGGAGCTCATCCCTTCAGAAGGTGAGTTCCGGATATAACAGCCCCACAACATCGGAGATGTCCAACAAAGACGGCACAGGCCCATACAGTGGGCAGCCTTCTCCAAGTTCTGACTCTCATGGCTCGTTAACTGAACAGTCTCACTTTAAACTCAAGTACCCTAGCTCTCCTTATAGCGCTCATATTTCTAAATCTCCCAGAAATATCTCCCCAAGCTCAGGACATCAGTCTCCCGTGGGCAGCACCCCCTCTCCTGCTCTCTCTTACTCCTCAGCTGGTTCTGCTCGCTCCAGCCCCGCTGATGCCCCAGATATAGACAAATTAAAAATGGCTGCCATCGATGAAAAGGTGCAGGCCATCCACAACCTGAAAATGTTTTGGCAGAGTACTCCCCAACATTCCACAGGCCCCATGAAAATTTTCCGAGGAGCTCCTGGAACAATGACTGCTAAGAGAGATGTTCTCAGCTTGCTGAACTTATCTCCACGGCACAGCAAAGCTGAAAGTGCAGACAAGCTGGAACTTAAGGAGTTATCTATTCAGCAACACCTTGCTTCTCCACAAAAGAATCCTCCAAATGGACACAGGCGCCCTGAAACTACCAATGCAGTGACTTCATCCCATTCTCCACCTTCCAATAGCATTCCAGGAACGGTACGCCCCTTGAGGCTGCCATCTGGAAATGGTTATAAATTTTTGTCACCAGGGAGATTTTTCCCTTCCTCCAAATGTTGAAATGTCTTTTGTACCAGTTGATTCAACTTGCAATCACGTAAAGGTTCTCAGTATTTGCTTCTACCCACTTGCCTTGATCAATACAAAACCACAGAATATTACCCGAGAAGCCTGGTCACATCCACGATTAGGAGTGCTGAGTAATGAGACAAATTAGCCTGGCACAGTGCATTACAGTATATGACAAGGGCCTTATGCAAATAGGTTTCAGTTCCTCTTGTCAGTACTTTGGCCAGATGCACCTGATGACCGTTTTGTGTAGCGTTCACAGCTAATTCTGTGCAAAATGTTAGCCTTTAAACCACCTACATGTATTTCTTATCCTGAAAGGATGTTTACAGTTGGATTTTTATACAGAATTTATACATATCCAGGGATTGGGGAAGGAGGCGAGACGAGGCAAATCTTCCATTTTATGCCACAACGATAATGCACACAACATTCTGTCCAGAGAAGAAGTACAAGCCATTGCTTTTATGCTTCCAGGGGCTGCGCGGGGGAGTAGATGATGATGTAACTTGGTGAAATTGCTGTTAGCCAAATGCAAGCATATGTGAGAAAATGCTAGCAATGTACAACTCCTTGGCAACATTGTATTGGTGATTACAACACATCATTCTGGTGCTGTGCTGGTGACATGCCGATAAGGTAGAAATGGATGTTCCATTCTTAATTCCTCTTTCAGTTAACTTTTTCTGAAGAAATACCTTTTAGGCTGAAATTTCCATTGAGTGATCTGACCCCAAAAGAACATTTTGGTAAGTAATGAACAAAATCCCATATCTGAGTAGTGGGAGAGTGACAGATACAAGTTCTGGTTTTACAAAGTGATACCTTTGTTGCACATAATTTTACAAGGGTAGGTTTTTCATATCGGCAGGTAGCTGGTCAGCATTAAACTTTTCTGTTTAATTCTGAAAACGAGAGGGAGATGCACAGTGAATGTGAGAGAGGGTTACGCAGTGTGCAGGTCCTCAGCATGCAGAAATCAGACACTGACATGTGATCTAGTGATCACATGTTCAGGGAGCTCTCTCCATTACTGCTAGATCTTCCCAAGCGTCTTCCCAATCTCTTTCCCTGTTATCTTGCTTTCAGGGCCAATATATGCAAATTAAATAGGTCTGTGTCATTGTGCAAACAGACTGCACATTAAAATCTATGCATCTGGGCCTGTTAACCCCTTCTCCCTGGGCCAAGTGGGAAAGCCAGGAGCACTCCCGCAGCTAGGAGGGGAGGACAGGCTGGGCAACAGCCAACACAGAGTGAGGCAGAGCTAAGGCAGTTGGGAATCAGGCTGGGGACACTCGTTGTTTTTAAAGAAGGCCATTAAATACAAACCACAGAGTTAATGTAACAAAGACAGAATTTACGTGCACTGAAGTCAGGACATACACAACAACATAAACTCAGCCACACTGCACATCTAGCTCAAAGCAAAGTATTATACAGGCAATGTGCTGTGAGTTTTTGAGCAAGGAACAAAGTGAAGGCACCTGGCTTCTGCTCTAGACTCTTCCCCAATTCACTGTGAGACTTTGGACTAGTCACTTCACCCCTCTGTGCCTGAGCGCCCCCATCTGTCAAATGGGGGTAGTAATACTTACCTACCTACCTCACAGGGGTGTTGTGAGGCTTAATTAATTAGGCCTCGATTTTTAGTTAGACTTCAACTCAGCTCCTGGTATTGTGCTCTGTAGTAGAGGCCTATCTACATGAATTGTGGGTGCAATCAACTGGCTCGGCTTCTAGCTGGGCATGGCTGTAGATGCATAAAATTGTGTCACCCAGACCCTTTTTGAAGCTCTAGGTCTTAACGTTTGTGACGCTCTTTGAAATCCTGGATGAAAGGTGCTACAGCAGTACAAAGCATTAAATTCTCATGGCTATAATATAAAATACTGGCCCTGATTAGCATTTAAAAACCCTATGGTTTGGAGAGAAATGTTTGCCGTATCACAACTGCAAGAAACTAAATGCAAGCACTACAGATACCAGATGTCAGGGCATGTGCATGTAGACAGTTAACAGAGAGAGGGATGATCATGAAACTTTCAGTGCAAAAGACCAGGAAGAGCTTAATGCTCCACTTACACATATTAGAAAATGTGGCAAAACAGTAAGCTAAATCTAGTACATGTCTTACTAGATGAAAATTATTTGGCTCTTGCATTACAGCTTCCTATGTGGGTGAAGTAACATATTTTATTGGCCCAACTTCTGTTGGTGAGAGAGAGAAGCTTTGAGCTCCACAGAGCTCTTCCTCAAGTCTGGGAAAGCCAGGTCTATACTACGGACTTATATTGGTATAACTACATCACTTGGGTGTGAAATATCCACACCCCTGAGAGACATAGTTATACCAACCTAACCTCTCGCCCCCTTGTAGACAGTACTGTGTCGACGGGACAGCTTCTCCCATTGACAGAACTACCACCTCTCAGGGAGGTGGATTAGCTCTGCAGACACTTCTCCTGTCAGCACAGGAGTATCTTCACTTAAGCACTACAGCAGCACAGTTGCAGTATTTTAAGTGCAGACCTAAAAGTATGATAGCTAAATACAAGATAGACTAGATAGTTTAGTACAAGCAATTAGCACATATTTTAAGGGACTGTTCATGGTGAAGTGGCCCATTAACAACCCTGCTGTCGTAGCACAAAAAGGGGGGTTAGTGGGTTATAAAGACGGTTGTAATAAGCCATGAATCCAGTGTCTCTGATCAGTCCAGGATTTTTAGTGTCTAGCAAAGTTATGAATTTAAGCTTCCAGGCTTGTCTTTTGAAAGTGTTGTGCAGGTTTCCTTTGAAGATGAGGACTGATAGGTCAGATATACTGCGATCCCTTTGAAAAGTGTTCATCCACAGGAGACAGGGTTTTTTTGTCCTTTATCGTCTTCCTGTGTGAGTTCATTGAGGAGCATAGTGATTGTCTGGTTTCACCCACGTAGTTGTTGTAATTGTTATTAAGGCATTTAGTACACTAGATGAGGTAATTCAAAAAGACACGCCTGTGAACTTAAATTCATGACCTTCCTAGACACTGAAAATACTGGCCTTAAATAGACACTAGATTTGTGGTTTATTACAACTATCTGTAACCAGGCTACATCTACACTACAAATTACTTGGAAATAATTTACGTCGCTCAGGAGTATGTCCTATGTCTACAGGGGTGTTTTTGTCCTATGTCTACAGGGGTGTTAACAGGTCACTTCAACTTTGAATGGTCCCTTATAATATGTGCTAACTACTTATGTGAAACTGTCTGTTCCATCTTGCTGTGACACTCTTTGGGCTTGTCTTCATGTACAGCAGTGCAGCTGCGCTGGCAGGAAGACAAGCCCTTAGGCTACGTCAACACTGTCAGAAAGTTGTGGTGCTAAAGCCTTGCCGCTGTAAGGCACGCAGTGTACCCACTCTGTGTGGGCAGGAGAGAGCTCTCCTGCCATTGAGGGGCGGTAGCATTGTCGGCGAGAGAGCATGTCCCACAGACAAAGTGCTGTGCACACCGGCGCTTTTCGTTGGTAAAACTTCTATTGGTCAGGGTATGTTTTTTTCTCCACCCGAGCTACAAAATTTTACAGACTAAAGTGCAGTGTAGACATAGCCTTAGTACTTTTCCCAGACCTGAAGAACTCTGTGTAGCTTGAAAGCTTCTCTCTCACACCAACCGAAGTTGATCCAATAAACAATATGACCTCACCCACCTTGTTTCTCTAATATCCTAGGACCGACATGGCTACAACACCACTGCCTTCAGCTTCCTATGTGACAGTTTGGCCCAAGGGGTTATCCTTTCTTAATTAGCCCAGAAGCATTAGAATAAGGGGAAGAAATACGTCAGTACAACAGCTAAGAAATGTTGTAAATGACGACGAAGATGTTGATGATGTAAATTAATTTAGCCACATTTGTTCAGGCCACTGAGAGACCCCATAGGTTCCACTCCAGTTCTACTCAACTTTACCATTCTGGTACAACATCTTAGAAACATCAAGATTGGAGGTGGGCACCTTTTCATTTACATAACAGCACATACTCCCTGCTGTGCTGCATGATATGCCAGAAATCCCCCCATATATGTTCCGTACATGGTGCTATAATCATACAGAACTGATACAGTTCAAACGCTGTTATTTTGGTACAGCCTATTTTCACACCTCCAGAGGGCTTCGTACTAGCAACTGAACTTTCAGAAAATGTGGATCAGTAAAAATGTATTAAAGAGGAAAGTGATTAGGGTGCAGAGAAGAGGGGAGTTCAGTATTTGGGGAACTGGTGGTGTATAAATATGGATGATTTGGGGACTGCATTTCTATGGACACATGGCACTTCTACTGGTTTTACTGAGAGCTGTGAACTTCACACGCTTCCTGCCTGCTCCTGGGCTGGAGACACCTCACAAACCCTCAAACCTCACTTCCCCGCCCCATAGATGAGAAATGATCAGATTTGCCATTTATGTGGTAAAATTCAGGAACCCATTGTTCTCCTTTTTATATTAGAATCCCTTCTGTGGAAGTTACATGCGTTTGTCGTCGTATTTGTGCATGGTACAAGTGATAACACTGCTTAATAAGAGCAATAAGAACTAGGTATTATCCACTTTCACGATAAATCTCCCACATGCAAAAAATATCCCCAAGGCAATAGAATATATTTTTGTTTAGTTTTGCCCAGTATGTTTTTCTGTGTGAAATACTAATTATGAATATTTTGTTGACTGTCTTTAGCTAAATGGAAAGAGCCAAAAGTCAAATTTTGTCCTTATTTCATTAGGTGGCCTGAACGAGCCAGGTGCGGAGTCTCCTTTTTATCAGACCCTTATTTAAACAAGAAAACAAAAAGGTTCATATTGAAAAACCGTTGAGGTAAAGGTAGCGAAGGGGACACTCCAACCACGATCCTACCCCTCAGCGACAGTTCCCTTCAGCTGGTACCACTTTTTCACTGAACATCTGTTTTAGGTTGTAGGGTAGGTACCAAGCTTGCAGAAAATCTGCATGCCCATTTAAGAAGCACTGATCACTTGAGGCTGGGTGACAATGAATTTGAGTGATTTCAGTAAATATGGGAATATTGTAATGCATCTATTCTGCCATGTTGTCCAGAAAGGCTGTATGTGTGTATTGTGAACTGGGCTCTTATGTTGCAGAAATCTTGCAAAAGAACTTTGAAGATGGTAACTCAAGGAGGATTAGTCAGCTAAGACCCTTCTCCCATGCAGCAGCTTTTTAGCAGTCACTCTCCTTGTATGCAGTATTAGCCATGTTTGGCCTATATGGACTTTTTTGTAAATTAAAGCTCTGTTTCCAGACAGCATTAAACATTTTATATTACAAAATTTACCATGTAAAAAGAATTTCATATTTTTATTGAAATTGCTAGGGCATTTGGCCTTCTTTCTTTGTGATTTCAGTGTCTATTAAAGCATGAGTTCTCTCAGTACTTCAGTGTTGTGTCCTAGGATCACATTTCTAATGGATTGTTTAGTCCTCTGACTTCCCTACTCCAGACATCTGGCCATGGACGACTGCTAACTACCTTCATCCTCAGCCTCCAAATAAGACATTTGTCATGCAATAATTTACATGCTGTGGCTACGGAACATTAGCGGCCAGTTCCAACACTATGGTAACTGCAAATGTCTTCCAGTGTGGCAATGGGAGGGTTAGTGAGAGCTCCCTTTGCTTCCTGTTGTAGAACACAGTACTCCAATCAGAAAGAGAAGTGACGGTACAGACGCCTACTCTTCCACCAGCATGGGACGGTAGAGCTAACATTTGCTCAATTTCCTTGTTTCTGCCAGCAGCAATGAGAAGTGGAGGGGTGATATAGCCCCCAGAATCTGCTGGAGCTGTAAGCTTGTTTGGTTTAAGCTAGTCTTTCACAGTGATGTATGTAAGGTCACAGAGGAACAGCCGTGTTAGTCTGTATTCGCAAAAAGAAAAGGAGTACTTGTGGCACCTTAGAGACTAACCAATTTATTTGAGCATGAGCTTTCGTGAGCTACAGCTCACTTCATCAGATGTAAGGTCAGTTACTGCTTAGATGCTGTGACAACATGGGCAGCAGGCAATAACTAGTATTTGCCTTTTTATTGTATGTAAGGTGTGTCTGTGGGGCTTATCAGGCAGCTATCTGTGCAATCTCTAGTTGTACAAACAGAACAGAACATCTATGGGGCCTGTTGCTCAGCTATCTGTGATCTCTAGTTGCACAAGCATAACACACTGTAAGAGGCTTATCCCAAATATCTGAAACACCAGGGTTCCTCACCCCCAGGGTCTCCAATTAGCAACTTAACCCATGGTAGCATTGCTTGGACAGGCTGCTTGGTTATCACTGAACTCCTCACCTGTTGGAAGGAGCTTTCCCAGGAGCGAGTTCCGTATATTTGGAGTGGCAAGTACTGCAGCCCTCGGATGGGAGTTTTGTAGCTCCCTGCTCCTGATTGCACTCCTGCCCTGTCAGCCAAGCACCATATTTCCATGGTGATGAGCAGAGTGGTGTTAATGGGATCGGCCCCATTGTTTCCTATTGGCTTGCCTCATTCTTGTTCCTAAGATGGTGGCACGTCCTCACAGATGCATAAAGAATACTGTGTCTATTCCATTCAGAGATGTATTTTTAGAGTGCCAACCATTGCAAGATCTCATTGCACCACTGGACAAACATCAGGGATCTGGCTAAAAGTTTAATATCTAAATTGGTCCAACTACATTTCATGGGACAAAAGCAGATGATTAGGGACACTGGCATTTAGACAAAAGCGAGTGCAGCCTTTCTCAGAATGAGACATACAGTACATTCACCTGATGTACTCTGTGCATTTGAACCACACCCCTCAGTGTAGCCTATTTGCTGAAACATACAACATTAGTCTTTTGACATAACAGGGAAAATGGCTACATTTAGAAAATGTTACATTATTTACAGTCAATTATATGACCATTTTTGATGTTATATTGGTAATAAACCCATCCTTTGTCTTGGAAGCCAATCATCAAGAAAGAATACACACAGGAGCAGAATCAGTGAAGGCAGGAAAGCAGAATTCTTCCTTTTAGTGGAATACTGATCTCTCTACAGTCTTGTAAAGCCCCCAGATTCCACGCTGATGATCACGTTCAAAAGGTGTAAGAATAATATACCTTTTAAGTGGATGGTGAGCCAGGCTATGAGCCCAATGTAGTATCTGAACTTTAAATGTGAATTTCCTGTCTTTTAAATGCTCAGCTATTTTCAAACACTAATTTTGAGGTTGTTATAAAAGTAATTTTAGATTAACAGTTTTGTGTATGAAAAATCCTGAATTTCAGAGATACCTGATAGTCTGTAGCAACTCCCGGTTGGGAGAAACATTATTAATTTTGGAAATGCTTGTTCCTTCATTGCAAGCGAGAAGAATTTAATTTATCCTCCCTTTGTGTCTGGGTTCGCAAAGGCTAATGTGTTTGGCTCCTCTTCTGTGACCTGATTCTTTTGCACTGCTTACGTGGGACAAAGGAGCTGGAATCTGGCCAGTTGAGAATTCCCCAGTGCTCTAAGCTGATGCAGCGCTGGCTCCTGGGTGAACCATCCTGGCCATTGCCCCCTTGTGTTCTACTCCATTCGGCCAATTTTCAGCTGGGCTATGGTCCCCTAGGGGATAGATGTAACTGTCATAGATTAGAGCAGCCACTAAGCTGACACAGACCTGTTCACAGAATCAAGGAGCCATAATCTGCTCCTAGATGGCACTCTCAGCCGTTCTTAGTGTAGGTGAAAATCTGGCCTAATATACCTATAAGCAAATCTTTTTGCAAGGCTCACAAAATGAAAAAACTTTCCATTTGTTTTACCATTAATAACCCATATGCACAAGCTTGTAATCACTTTGTAAATCTGCAGTAGGATATTTCTACTAACTTCTCAGTTTGCAGATGAAATGTGTTTCCACCTCTTGGAAGGTACAGATTCTGCTGCAAATAGCCAGGAGCCATTGAGGTGCTAATACCTTTAAAAATGTTAGATTCACAATCAAGAATGGCAAGTCCAACCAATGTTATTTTCATTGAGAAACTGAAATCCCTAGGAAGTCAGCAGCTCTATAAGAAACTACAGCAGATAAGGTACTGAGTCTGCATCTGAGTTGTGGAGCCTCCAGGATGCGGCCACTCAAGACAATATTATTGTGTGTGGTATAATTTGGATATAAACAAAGAGAATGAGGGTTTCAGAGAAAGCATAGACTGTAGCTAGCTGGGTAAACAAAAGACAAATGTCCATATGCGGGGAGAGCTGCAACAGCGGACGGCAGTCAGTCTATATTTTGAAAACCACATAAAGGAAAATACTAAAAGCTTGAGAGCTTAGTGCGGCCCTTGCTGGGCACTTTATCATTCTCTTACCTTCCAGACAAAATCAGTGGGATGTATATCCCCAACCATGTCCAAGACACTCAGATGGGAGGATCTTCTTTGTGGCTTTGAAATCTGAAATCTCCTGCTAATATGTTTCCTTTAAAGCCTGTTCTACCATGGGCCTCTCTAGATCAGGAAAATGAGATATGTTTAGCACACTTGTTTATTAACATGTTTTTAATACACATCACACCTTGTAGGCAAAGGCAGTGGTGTTTAAAAATGTGTTCGCTAATTACAGTCAGTGCACCATCTTCAGTGCTGCTGGAGCTGGTTCTAGGTTACCACAGGGGACTGACAGTGCAAGAGGAAAGAGGCCTTCGGGTACCCTTTACCACACACTCTTTTCTATCTGAAAGGGCTGGTTAATGGGTGATGTTAGCATTAAAGGAAGCTACTGCACTTTCTAGTGTCTGGGTGAGTGCAGAAATTGGAGCTTGGCAGGATTATATGAGGAGAAATGGGCCTAAGGATTCTGATTTGGGCAATTAACATTCCAAGTAAGGCTGTCAATTAATCGCAGTTAATTCATTCGATTAACTCTAAAAAAAATTAATCACGATTAAAAAATTAATCGCAATGAATCTCGCACTTATAAAAAATTGAATACCAACTGAAATTTATTCAATATTTTGGATGTTTTTCTACATTTTCAATATTGATTTCAGTTACAACACAGAATACAAAGTGCACAGTGCTCACTTTATTTTTTTTATTATAAATAATATGCACTGTAAAAATGATAAACAAAAGAAATAGTATTTTTCAATTCACCTCATACAAGTATTGAAGTGCAATCTCATCGTGAAAGTGTAACTTACAAATGCATATTTTTTTAGTTACATAACTGCTCTCAAAAACAAAACTGTACAACTTTAGAGCCTACAAGTCCACTCAGTCCTACTTCTTATTCTGCCAATCACTAAGACAAACAAGTTTGTTTACATTGACGGGCAATACTGCTGCTTGCTTCTTATTTACAATGTCACCTGAAAGTGAGAACAGGGGTTCGCATGACACTTTTGTAGCCGGCATTGCAAGGTATTTATGTGCCAGATATGCTAAACATTCGTATGCCCCTTCATGCTTCGGCCATCTTGCCAGAGGACATGCTTCCATGCAGATGATGCTTGTTAAAAAAAACAAAACTGCATCCATTAAATTTGTGACTGACCTCCTTGGGGGGAGAATTGTATGTCTTCTGCTCTGTTTTACCTGCATTCTGCATATATTTCATGTTCTAGTAGTCTTGGATGATGACTCAGCACATGTTCATTTTAAGGTTTCAGAGGAACAGCCGTGTTAGTCTGTATTCGCAAAAAGAAAAGGAGTACTTGTGGCACCTTAGAGACTAACCAATTTATTTGAGCATGAGCTTTCGTGAGCTACAGCTCACTTCATCAGATGTATACCGTGGAAGCTGCAGCAGACTTTATATACACACAGAGAATATGAAACAATACCTCCTCCCACCCCACTGTCCTGCGGGTAATAGCTTATCTAAAGTGATCAACAGGTGGGCCATTTCCAGCACAAATCCAGGTTTTCTCACCCTCCACCCCCCCACACAAATTCACTCTCCTGCTGGTGCTAGCCCATCCAAAGTGACAACTCTTTACATAATCAAGTCGGGCTATTTCCTGCATAGATCCAGGTTTTCTCACATCCCCCCCACCCCCATACACACACAAACTCACTCTCCTGCTGGTAATAGCTCATCTAAACTGACCACTCTCCAAGTTTAAATCCAAGTTAAACCAGAACATCGGGGGGGGGGGGGGTAGGAAACAGGCTACCTTGCATAGTGACTTAGCCACTCCCAGTCTCTATTTAAGCCTAAATTAATAGTATCCAATTTGCAAATGAATTCCAATTCAGCAGTTTCTCGCTGGAGTCTGGATTTGAAGTTTTTTTGTTTTAAGATAGCGACCTTCATGTCTGTGATTGCGTGACCAGAGAGATTGAAGTGTTCTCCGACTGGTTTATGAATGTTATAATTCTTGACATCTGATTTGTGTCCATTTATTCTTTTACGTAGAGACT